AGTTCAGTGGGTTTTTTTAAGGTCTCAGATTTTTTTGGAATAAAAAACATGAATTCAAACATGAAGTCCTGAGTTGCATTCCTGATACCTCCCCCATAAAGCTATTGAAATACGAATTCATATTCCCATTATGCAATGTTTTTGTGAATGTTAAACTGTATCAGTACAGCCTCGGATGACTTGTGGTGCTGTCACAGGTAATTCCGTTGTTTGATGATTAGGGTTTCTCTGTTGTCAAGACAAGGTGATTTGTAGGTATCTACAAACTCCCAGGACAGGGATACTGTGCAAAACTGAAGCTCTTTAATCCTGTTCCCTCACATTGTTCTGAGAAAAGCTTTGCTGTCTTACACAGAGCCTTAGGGGAAAATCAGAATCCATCTATGAGAGCTAAAGGCAGGCCTAGCCAGGCCATGAGGTAGGATGAACGTGACCCAAACAACAGGAGATTAAAAAAAAGATACAACTTCAGTTATGGGAAATTAGCAGAAAGATGGCTGAACCTACTTTTGTAAGGATGTCTAGATAATCAGAAGGAAACTCTGGGGTGTTTTGTGCACTTCCCTCCTCACACTCCACAGCAGGATCAGTCCTTCTCTACCCTGTATTTGCATAAAAGTGCACTGTGGCCCAAAATACTCTATTATGCTTCTTGTGCCTCTGGCCATGCTTTTTTTTTAAAATTTTATTTAAGGAGGAAAAAAAAAAAAAACAGAGAAAGGGTACAAGTTATACAGAATTTCAGAACAAATAAACAGTAGGAAATCACTAGTTAATTACATATTGTCATCTTAGAAATAGTTGTTGAAGTTACAAAATTAAAGCATATAGAGGGGACTTTCAAACAGTGAGACTGCAAACAGTTTTGTTCAATGATCCAACACAACTCAGTAATATGATTATCTATCTTATACACTTAAATATATATGCAGTTATATCTTTTAGAGAACTTCCTTTCTTTTGTACAATGACAATTACACATTTTGGGTTTTATTACTCCCATAGTTCTTATTACTTTTTTTTTTTTTTTTTTTTTTTGAAGAAAGTGAAACCAAATGTGACATACCAGGACAGACTCAGTCAAATCAAAAGGATGGACATAATACATAATGTAAAAACAAAATACAAGGTGATCAACAATGGTTACCATAATGCCTCTTGTTATCTTAAAAAGAATTGCCTATATCATCAGTTATAATAAAATTGAACAAAACAGTAAAGAATAGGACCAATAAAACCAAAACATTGGAGACATTAGAGGACTTCAAAAGAAGATAATAGTCAACCAGAATGGGCATCACAATGAATCTTATTGTCTTCATAGTTGTTGCCTATACTTTCAAACTTGGTACTATCTAGCATAACAGAATAGAGGAAAATCAGTCAAAACAAGATGGTGAGAGCAATACCGAGTTTCAAATCAAGTTAATAGGAAATTAAAGTGGGTTACTATAATATATCCTGCTATTTTTTTATTTATTTTTACCTTAATTAAAAGGATAAAAATGAAAAAGATAATAAAAAGGAGATTGAGATAAAAAAGAGGGCACAACAACAAAACAGCGCAGGTCAAAACATAGCCATTTAAGCAAAATAGTGTTTCACCACAAGATAATCTTGTCATAATAGTAATTACCATAGCCTCTTCCCTTAAAATCTTTGGGTATAACTTCGTGTACTGTAGCATCAGACGTATCAAGACAATGTAAAACCGTTCAAGAGAATGACAGTATTACAGGGTATTTAGAATCAACTAACAGAGAATGAACAATGGTTTCTGTATAATCTCTTGTCTATAAAAGTTTTTGTTTATATTATCATATATAATAAAATCCAATAAGATACAACATGTTAAAACCAATGGAGACAGAAGAACAAAAGCTTGATGGGACTTCAAAACAAGAGGATATTAAATCAGCACTACCCTATTATGATGTCTTGTTTTCTTCAAAATGGCTGTTTCTACCATCCAACCTTCTCTGCCTCATTTCTGTTGAGCTCTTTTTCTGTCACTAGTTGTCAGTTTGTCCTCTTCATTTTGCCACCTGCTCCATTCATTGTGTCCGCTCTGCCACTGTTTCTGGAATCTTGGTATTTTTCATTTTTAGAATATCCTGCAGTAATCTCTGTAGAGTTGAATTGGTGGTTGCAAATTCCCTTAGTTCCTCTTTATCCTGGAAGCACCTTGTTTTTCCATCAATTTCTACAGACAGTTGTGCAGGATATATCAATCTTGGCTGGAGGTTATTATCTTTCAAAGCTTCCCCCCATGCTCTTCGTGATTTGATGGTTTGTGCCAAGAAGTCTGCTGTAATTCTGATGGGTGTTCCCTTGTAAGTGATCTGTTTCTTGTCTTTGATGGCTTTTAATATTCTGTTCTTATGTTGGATTTCTGGAATTTTGATTATTATATGCCTGGGTATAGCTCTGTTTGGGTTGTAGGTGGCTGGGGTCCTGTATGCCTCATAATCTGAGTATTTTTACCTTTTGCTAAATTAGGGAAATTCTCCTGGATTATTTCTGTGAATAGCTTTTGTAGTTCATTTGTTTGAGTCCCTACTTCTTGTTTTATGTTCTTAATTCTTAAGTTATAGATCCTCTTACCATCTTGTAGTCTTTGTATTATTGCTGTTTGTTTTCTTGTTATTTTTAATAAGTTTTTCATTTGATGCTCCCACCTTACAAATCTGTCCTCCAATTCTAATAATCTATCCTTAGTTTCTTTCAAGCTGTTATGCTAGCTTTCAATGGAGTTTTTAGTTTCCTGGTAATCTCTTTGAACCTGCTTCACATATTCTATGTTTTCTCTATTTTCTCCATCAAACAATTCTCCCCTTTTTTCTGTTCTTCCATTTCACCATCTGTTTTTTTTTTTGGGGCGGTGCTTAGCATTTCTCTAACTATTCTACTTATTTCTTGCTTTATTTCATTAAATACTTCATTTTTGAACTCATCTATGAGGCTCCGGAGATACCGCTTTATGTCTATAGGTGCTGTGTTTGATATTGCATGTTTTCCAACTTCATTCTCTTTTGCATTTACCTTTCCTGCATCAGTGTTCTCAGGATTGGGGACTGAGGACCCTTTCTTGTTGCTCCTTTTTCCCATACTTTTTGTTCCTTCCATACAAGCGTATGTAGGAGGCCCAGTTTTTTTTTTCTCTTTGTCTGTTACAGTTTGTTTGAATCCCCAGGCTAGGTGTTCCCACCCACTGCAGTGTAGTAGGGAGACACAGACCTGGGCAGCCTCTGCTGGGCCCGTCCCTCCAGGTCAACCTACCGAAGTCTTCACTGCTAGGGTGCACCGCCGGGCGCAGAGACCTGATTTGGGCTAGCCTACTGGATCTTAGTCCGTGCCATCACCAGGCCAAGCGCTCTCCACCACTCCCGCTTGAGAGGGGAATATGCGATTAAAGTCACTGCAGGGCCCTGTTCTGGCTAGTCTGCTCATTCCCAGAATGTCCTCTGTTGGGAGCTTCCTAGTCTATGAAAGGGTCCCCATTTCTCTCACTCACCGCAGGTCGATGCAGGGCTCCCTGCCAGTCCCGCTCTCAACACTGTTTGGTTCGCAGATTCCAGCTCTCAGAGCTTTCATGCGTCTCTCTCCCTGCTGTGTGGGTTGGGACGAAGTATCGGCAGCAGGAAATTCAAATTGTGGCTTCCAATGTCACGGGCTCCAGCTTCCGCATTGAGATTTTATCTGTTCCTGTTATAGCATCAAGATTGCATTTCCAGTTGGTTTCTCTCAGCTTAGTTTGTTCCTGGGTCGCAGGGTATATCTCCCCTCACATAGGACTCCTCAGATGGCACCACTCCTGGATTCTAAACTGGTAATCTCAGAGAGCCTCCGTGGCTGCTGTTATTTGTCCACCATGTTCTCCCGGATCTGGCCATGCTTTTGTAGCTGGCAAGAAGTGTGCCAAACTTGGTGGATGAGGGCGGCATCTGACAATGTGTGGTCCTCCTGCCCAACAACTCCATCATGCAATGGCTATAGGAACTATGAAGTGCAATGTAGGAGCTTTTTGGCAAGTATGTGCAAGAGATGTCCAGGGCAAGTGCTGGAGCTGTAGGCTGGGGCTGAAGCTAGGAACTGGAGTTATCCAAGCATAGCCTGTATTGTGTTCAGTGAGGGATGAGTCCTGATAGGTGAGCAAAAGCTTTAAGAAGTGCAGGCCTTATCTTAGAAATTAATCCTTAGAATGAAGGGAAAATTAGGAAAAAGCTTTGGTCGCTCCAGTGGTAGTAGTAGTATAGAGACGTTTATGTGGGGGGTGCTGTCTACATTAACAGCTTAATTATTGGCTATGGGTCCACTGGATATATTCAGTTGCTTATTGTTTCTTTTCTTAGAGAGCTCCTGGGGAAGCTGGGAGGGATGCAATTAGATTGGAACCTCGGAGTCTGTCCATTCATTCTTTCACTCACTAAGGGGACTGTAATCAGGAAAGGAAAACAAAACATGTAAGTGGTGTGAGCATAAAATACTTCTTGCAGGAAAAAGAAGGATATGAGGTACTAAACTGTGAAGCAGGGATAACACTAAAACCCATATCAAAGGCTTAACCAAAGCACTACACTAATAGAGGCAAATAAGATATGAGTATTTTGCAAGCTGTGTGTCCCAGGGGGTGGGGGATGAAAATGAATAGGAAATGCATACTTGGGCCAGTGAGTATGTACATGTCACTGAAGATAAAGGCAATCAGGCTTTGGCGATAGTGTGCTGAGGGAGAGGGCAAGAAAGATCTGGATGGGAAAGAAATCTTCAACTTCTTTGTTTTATGTAGCAAAGAGAAATACATACCAGAATTGGTATATTCTCACACTGGGCACATGCTCTATGCACACACGCATGTGGATGTCTGCTATTCAGGCATGTACACTAATCTGTATTCATCAATCAGGCAAATGGACAGTGGGCATAGATACACTTCATACTTCTCTCTGTAGTTTGTGTGTTCTGCTTGCAGCTCACACTTTGCTTGCTTTTCCTTCTAGGTTTTTTTGCTCATAGAGGCCCCCAGAAGGCCAGCAGACCTCTTGTGATGCAACTCAGTTGGAGCGGCTTATCCTACAAGGTAGGTGCCTGGGGAGATGACTCAGCACCCAGTTCAACCTCTTCTTTTTACAGGGTGGCCCTCATCTGTCCAGGTAGCAGATAAGTCCTGGATGATATGTTTTCTGCAACCAAGTTCATTGCAGATGTCTCCTACCCTTGATTTATTTATTATTTGTAACTCTTGCCCAGCTTCCTCTATTTTAGGGATGTGTCTGTATAAATCTATTCTAGACCTAACAGTCTACTTCCTAACAGTCTTCTCATAGGACAGTTGTGGCCCAGGCTTCCCTCAGTACCTTAAAAATACACTGACTGAATTTTTAAAATTTTATCGTGATTTAAAGAGGGTTTTATCTCTAGTATGATCTTAACTCAAGGATAAGTTCTTCTATACCTTTGTCTTACAAATCTGGAGAATGGCACTCACCAAACTTGAAACTTGGAGTTAAACTGACCTGAGTTTGATTTTCAGTATTGCCACTTATGCTAAGTGACCTTAGAGAGAAGGACCTATTCTTAATCATCTGTAAAATGAGGACTAGAGAGAGTCCATCCTGGTTCTCATCTTGGTCCAGGAAGTTTACATTTGTAATTCCATAGAAAAGTTATTGGAGCTTCAATAACTTAATTCCAATCTACCACTTCCAGTGCAACTCATAGCAGGAATAAAGACACTAAGATATATTTATAGTTATGGGGAGCCAAGGAAGCCAAGTGTTATAGTTAAGTCTGGCCAGGATGGTGGTTTATTGAACGAAGGCCTTGACCCAGGGCCCAACCTGGATTTTATTAATTCATAACAGAGGAGTGGTTTGAGGATAAGTGACTGTGAGAATGGTGAGAAATATGTGAGTACTGTGAGCTGGGCCAGGCAGGAGGCATGAAAGCACCTCTGCAATATGCAGAGGAGGGGTTGGGGGTTTAGCTCAGTGGCACAAGGGCCTGCCTGACAAGCATGAGATTGTGAGTTTGATCCCTGGACCAGGAAAAAAAAAATAAGAGGAATGGATATGTAGAAAAACCAATCTGCATAACACAGTAGAGGGAATATCTAATGTTTTGCGATCTGTGTTTAAGTTCTGATGTGTAAACTTTTCTGCTTTCAGAAGTCATAGTATCTTATCTTGAGGCTTGATGCCAGTTGACAGAGTGGAGTGGTGGCTCTTCATTCTGCTGGCTCAGTCATGGAGAGTTTTTGGGGAGTCATGGGGTGAGGAAACAGCTACTATTGCCTAGCTTCAAAAGTTACCCATCAGCACCTTGGCTAGCCCTACTTACATTGCTTAAAGCCAACTGAAGGGATAAATAAATGGCCTAGCCAGCTCCATACATATCAGTACATGGAGATAGGACCAGGTTTAGGCAAAATGGAGGCAACTGTTCTTTATTCAAGGAGAGTCATCCAGGTGGTCTTTCACAGAGGATAATTAACTTTACGATCAGTACATGAAATGACATAGAAAAGTATGGAGAACATAATAGGGGCTGAGAAAAATGTGTTAAAGTTTATGAATCAATAAATAGATAACTGAACTATTGGACATGTCAGCCTGGCTAGAGAGTTGGGCATAATTCATGAAGTGTTTAAAGTAACCACATGTATAGTTATGTTATAAACTCATCCAAGAGGGATATATGTGGATTGAATCAGTCATTGAAGAGCCCCAGTTTAAGCTATCTGAAAAAGATGAGCATTAGTGACAGTGGCTCTCCATTTATACACAAACTTTGCACATGATAGTTATCAATATGTCTGTGCTTTATGAATCCTCTCAAAATTCTGGTTGGTGAGTTAGCACTTAATGCCAAATGTTTAGAAATGGGAATTCTCCTAAGTCAGAGTAATCACATAAGTACACACTCCTTGGACCCAGCTCCAGTACTGTATCTTGTACAGGAACTGATACTTCAAGGGTAGATGGAGGCAGTAGATTCTAGGTAGAGGAGAGTGTTCATAAATAAGGAAACATAATTACAGCTATTTTTAGATTGTTCATTTGGATATACTGTAAAGTTTTGCATAATTTTGGCCAGTCCTGAAAATCAATGAAGTGGTTTCTTAGTCCTTTTACAGATTTTACTTACAAGCTTTGTAACCTTAAGCAAATTATTTAATCTTTCTGATTAAAGTTAGTATAACTCCCTAATCTGTAAAAGTAAAACTTCACGGTACTTTTCTTTTTTTGAGACAGTGTCTTGTTATGTAGTCCAGGCTGGCCTTGAACTTGTGGCAGTCCTCCTACCTCAGCCTCTTAAGTTCTGTGATGACAGGTGTGTGCCACCATGTCTAGTTTCTACAGTGTTTTTATCATAGTTAAATGGTATAATGTAAATATAATAACTAACAGCTACTATATTTGCTATTCATATTTTTAAAATTACTGCTCTATTATTTTTAAAATGATTATTTTATCATAGTATGTAGAAAAAGATGAATTAAAAAGCAATTCTGTTTGACTTGAATGTCTTTACTTTTAACTGGCACACTAGGCTGTCTGTTTTTACAGCATTTTGTTACCTTGATTTTTGCGGTCTATTAAACCTTCTGATGTGTGGGGCTTGACCTGGGTACTTGGGCTACACAAGTCTTATGATGACCTCATGCTGCTGCAGAACTATGAGGAGTAGAAGATGGACTATGGTGATGGCAGTGGCAATACTGTGTACAAGAATGTCATGTACTTTACTGTGGCACCAGCAACATGGTCAAGGTGGACTTTCTTCCAACACCCTGGTGCAGCTTACAATAACCGCTTCTCTTATGCTGGTGTATCCTGGAACATCTTAGATTTTGCAATTGATAAGGAAATACTGTCGGTGCTGTGTGCCACCGAGTAGAGCAAAGGCAGTCTGGTTGTGATCTTCTCAATGCCAGCACCCTGGAAGTAGAGGAAACCTGGACACCAGCCAGTACGAGCCAGGCCTGTCAGGGGTCTGCTTGGCCTGTGGGGTGCTCCATGTCTTACATCTGCTGAGTACTTGCCAAGAGATCATCTTTGCTTTTGATATGGCTACTGGGTAGGAGACCCACTGCACCTTTTGGACAAGATGCTGAGGATGCTGTGTGCATCAATCATTGCCCCTTAGACCACAACCTTCTGGAGACCCACTGCACCTGTTGGACAAGATGCTGAGGATGTTGCGTGGCATCAGTCATTGCCCCTTAGACCACAACCTCCTGTGTCTACAATGATAGTTTCCTAGTGAATTACGATCTTATCTTTCCAACACAGAAGCAACAGCCTATCAAGATCATTAGTTCCTAAACCAGTGAACTTTCTAGGCCCTGAGACCTCATCAAGAAGGGTATTTGTAGAAATGTGTCTGTCCTCTTTCTCACCTGTAGGGAGACCACTCCCCAAAATGGCATTGGTCCTTATGATTGAGAAACACTGATTATACCTAGTTAGCTCTTTACATTATCAAATACTGATGGTTCCTATTATTTATGTAATCAAAATCAGTAACACATTAAAGTTTCTTTTAACAAAAGTCTGTGAGAATATGAGAGACAAAAGTCAGAGGGTCTAATATATGAACTTAATATGCATGAGGTCCTGGGTGCAATCCCCTGGAAGTGAAATTATCTTTTCAGTTTCCATTATACACAAAAATAAAATGTTATCCAGAGAAATGAAACTCTCTCTTTCTGGTGTTTGGTATATCATATTCTGTGCTTCAAAACTGTAAATCTGAGACCTAGAATTCTAAGTTTTTGTGTCCTAGTCCAGTGTTAAGTTGAGAGGATCTGATTGGTGTAGATTTGGGAAAGCTGGTCATTGGAGTGTGATATGGAAGTTTTCTCTCAACTTTACAGTCTTTTGGGGACCCTAAAGAGAAAAGAGGCAGGATCTTTTACCGTCTTTCATTAGCTTTATTTTTGAGAATATTTGAAAAGAGGTACTTATCTTGGAGTCTTTCTCTAAGAATTTAGCAACTTATAAATAGTACCTGAATTGGTGGGTACAAGAAACTGAAGAAGAATTTGATATGGATTGGGCTGAGGGCTCCACATTCTCAATAAAGAATGTTCAGTGTGGCTGCAGGAAGTCTGCCTGCAGCTTCTTTGTTAGTCTTTAGCACATTGAGAACATGTGGGCTTAGACTCTTTTTATGTCCCTTAATTGACTGAATAGCACCCACCCTGCCAGACAGGGGTATGGAGAGTACAGGTCCTGAAGCAGTCACACAAAGTCTGCATATGTTTTCATAATATTCAGCTCCCAAATACAAAAATCAAACACCCTTTTCAAATTTGTATAGAACTGAGTATCTGGCACTTTAGTTGTATAAAGCTGGCCCTTAAGGAATGGTACAATGAACCACTTTTACTTCCACATCTTGACTTACAAATGTCTCTCTCTCTTCAGTTTTTGACACAAAAGTGGCCACTTCAGGCTAAGTATAGACACTAAAAGAAATCATTCTAAAAGATCTATTAGGATGGCATGTAGAAAAACACCCATTTGTGAACTGTGTGAATAAAAAGCATATTACAAATAGTGCCCACTCACCATTAGGAGTTGGAACAGCTCCTGTAAGGAGGCTTCTTGGTTAGCCCACTGCTGCTTCTGAGAGAATATTTTCCTTATCACAAGGGAGTACTCTCAATTAAGTGTTGAATCTTGACCCTAGAGAAAAACATGACCTCACTTTCCATGTTCTTGTTCTGTTTTTCCTACTAAGGCCTACTTTCCCCAGATCACTATCAAAATTAATAAGCTCTTCCCCAGGGGTTAGGTTAGTGATGGTAAATCACAGTCCACTGTGGCATGCATGCCATAGATTAGCTACTACTGTCTTAGGCTATATACATAAATCCCAGGAATGTGCTTTTAACAGCAGATTCAGTTGACTGAAGATTTTGGCAATATGCCCAACATCCATTTATAAGACCTACACATAGCGGCACACACAAACACTCATCCTGTGTTTTAAAAACAAAATGTGATTTTTATCTTTTTTCCCCTCTAGGGAATTTGGCCTTCACTTTTCTGGAAGAACTTCTTATTTTATAATAGAGGCTTGCCTCCACCCCTTCAGTTTGGCTTCCTTTCCCACCTAGTCCTGACATATTGTGAGACTTAAGCTGACATCACAATATCCCTTTTCTGAACAGGTCATGCCCTGTGCAGGCAGGGTGGGAGGAGAGGCATCTGTGATGGGCATTGTCACCACTTAGTCCACCGAGTGTCAAGTATGAATCAGTAGCCACACAAGATCTCAACTGGGCTACATCTGGAGAACTGGAGTGAGGGTACAGCATTGCAAAGTATGAACCCCAGCTCTTTTTAGACTGGAATATATGACACCCGCATTGAAGCCCAGCAGAAATATTTGTCTGCCCTCACCCAACTGCCCCTGCTGGTATTTGCTACCTGCCTACCCACTAAACTCCATGTCTCATGTCACCTCTCGAGCACCCAGGACAGACCAGAGCAGGTGTCCTTCAAGTCTTCCTGCAGACAACAGTATGTCTTCAAGTTGCACTCGAGTGATAGTGAAGACACCAGCCAAACAGGAAGACTTTACAGTAGCTGATGACATCTTGGTGAGGCAGTTCAAGGAGAAACTTGCGGCTCACTTTGAATGTCAAATAGATCAACTAGTGCTGGTCTTCATGGGCCGTCTTCTCAAAGACGAGGACACACTGAGTCAGAGGGGCATTACAGATGGCCACACCATCTATCTGGTCATCAAGTCCAAGAATGGCTCCAGATCCCTGGCCCATTCCTCCCAGAATCTGCCAACCAATGACCACTGCCACCAGGACAGGAACATCAAAGAAAATAACAGTGGGGTGTGCCAGACTGCTGGCATGAGTCAAGTGCCAGTGAAATCAGCTCTCTTCATTGAGTCTCATGTACCCAACGTGCAAAACCAGAATCTGGAAGTGGACAATCCACAGCATGCAGCACAGATGCTGGAGAACCTTTGCTTCCAGCAGCTTCTGTCCAATGTGGAGTTCATGCAGCAGTTTGTTTCAGGACATCTAGACAAACAACAATTAATACAGCAGAACCCAGAAGTTGCCCACCTCCTTGACAATTGTGAGAGCCTGTGGCAGACTCTGGAGCTAATCAGGAGCCTTGCCATAATTCAGGAGATAGTGCAGACTCAGCAACCTGCACAGAACTTGGAGCATTCACTGAATCCACAGCCTTACTTGGGCTTAGAGACAATTCCAAGTGGAAACAGTGTCCTGTGTCAGAGCTATGCTGATTTCAGTGACCAAATGTTCAATAGTATGCAAGATCCTTTTGGGGACAACCCTTCTACTGGTCTTCTGGCAGGACAACTAACAGGACAAGTCCAATCCTCAACTCCACCATCATCCCAGGAATGGCAAGACCAATACCCATGTCTCCCTACAACCCGAGTCATCTGCACTGATTCCTGTGGTTTATCCTCAGTCACCTCAACCAATGCCAACCCCAATACACTGAACCATACTTCCAGAACCAACATGATCTCCACTAAGGATCAAAGCCATGTCTGTGCCATTCAGCAGCCAGCTGGGATTCCGATCTTACCTAGCATAGAGGTCATGCAGCAGCTCCAGGAAGAAAACAAGGATGGCTGCGTCTCTGTGTGTAGTTCAGACCAGCAGTTTGAAGAAGATTTCCAGTTGTTGGATGAGCAAGCCACCTCCCAGATCACAGGAGGGATAGCGCAGTTGTTTATAAACTATCCTCACCTGGCAGCTCAGATAATGTTCATGAGTATGACCCCGCTGAGTGAACAGTGTAGGCAGCAGCAGCCCATATTCCTGCAGCAGTCAAAACTTTCTGATCTGCTTTTAGCCCTAGCCAATCCTAAAGCATCACGAGCAATATTGCAGATTGAGGAAGGATTCCAACTGTTGGCCACAGAGGCTCCTATTCTTCTGTCCTGTTTTGTACCTTATTTATCAGACTCGTGTTGGCTTCCTGGTGTCCAATGTAGCTTCCCTGATACAGTGACCAGGACCTGGAATGCCCCAGACATGGCTGAGCCCAAGAGGCCTGAGTGCTGCCACAAATCTGGGGCAGTTCTGCATAGGCTACAGTCTCTAGATGGAAACTCTTCCCAAACTCCACACGCTCCTGAGATTCGTTTCAGGAAGCAGATGAAATTTCTCCAAGATATAGGGTTTGGGAATTACTATGCTAATCTCCAGGCACTCATTGCTACTGAAGGGGACACTAATGCTGCTATTCGCAAGCTGAAGAAATCCTAGGGATTCTAACTTCCACATCTACTTGTCTGCTTTCTACCTGCCTGCTGACAACATTGACCAGCTCAGCTGCCTTTTACTCCTTTCCTGATACTTCCAGCTAGGAGAAATCCTGAAATATAGCAACCAACCAATGCTCTCTCCACTATGTGCTAGGCAACTGGTCATGGCTGGAACATCTGTCAGTAAAATGGCTACACCTACTCACCCTCATCTGAGGTTTGGCTTTCCTTTTGCAGAAAACTAACTAAATGGGTTTGATATCTTTGTGTTATCTTATATACATGAAATACATATATCACATGTACATATTAATATAGAAATAAATAGAATTACTATTGTACATAGTCTTAAAAATCCAGGAATATACATGCCTAGTCTGAGACTTAGGAACAGAGACGAATGCCTGTGATTACATGTAGGAGAAGACAATAAAAAAAACGTAAAGGGAAACATTACATAGAATCAGATACTGGCCATAAAGACTGATAATTTGTCCCAGATTTCTCAACATTACATTGTTTAAGTTTGAAAGCTGACAAAAAAATGGTCTGATGGATCAGAGTAGGAAGAACTCACTTAGTGAGCTGATCTTGATAAGTACATAGAATCAGAACCTCGTTGATTGCTGTTCCCACAACTGTAGGACTTGAACTCTTTCTGTAGCACACAGAGATGCAGCTCCTGCCCTGTTCACTACATGTTCCAGTTATCATAAGCCTTCCACACGACACAGGTCTTACACAGGTATCTTAGCCGGGCATATCTTTATGTATATGGCTTGTGCTTTCCACAAGCACTGGGCCCACCTCTTCCTGCCTTACCTAGAATATCCCAGTTCAACAGGATACACAATGGGCCTACTTTCTCAGTTGTCAATATTTTAATATGTTTTTGCAATGATTTAATAAGTCAGTGTGGTTTTTAGATATTGAAGAAATAATGACAAAATAAAGATCCCTTATTTATGAAATTTACTTTTTTTGGTAGAGATTCAGACAACATTCAAATTAACTTACAATTTATTAGATGGTTTTACTTGCTATGAAGAACAAGAGGCTGGGATAAACTAAATAGGGTGATTAGGGAAGGCCTCTGAAAACATGAAATCCTAGGGAAAAGAGGCTCAATGTGTAATTCCCAGGGAGGATGATCCAAGCAGAGAAGGTTGCATGGAAATGACATCATCAAATTAGGTTGGTATTCTGCATTGTTTAAAATAACAAAGAGGCTAAAGTGAAAGAACAGCAATTAAAAATAGTAAGGATGGGTATCAGACATTGTGAAGAGCATTGAGTAGGTCTGATGAGAACCTTGTCTTTTGCTATGAATGTAATAGTTTCTGGTGGGCATATTAATTGGTTGAAAACATTCAAATGTATCACATGATCCCCGAAAACTAAAAATGAAATCCAAGGGCTGATATTTTCTCTCTGTGGTTCCTAGGTGTTTCTCATTCTGCATTATTTTCATAGAAATCAACACTTTGTCTTTCTTTGCTACACTGTATTTACTATCCTTCAAATATCTTTTGGGTTGGGTTAATTTTTAATGTAAATCTGAGCATAACATATTATGTATATATTATATTGCTAATAATTATATAATTATTTTTCTACCTGAAATGGAAAATGAGATGATAAAGTAATTAAAATTGTATCTTAAATGGCTGCAACTAAAGACCATAGTCATACAATAAATCAGACTCACACATATAAACATCGTATTGTCTCCCTTGTGTAAGAAACTAAAGATTAAATGAGGTCCAAGATCTACTTTACATGCCTGTATCTTGAACTTGAGCAACTATTTTGAAGATAAGCATTATGATGACTATTGTTAATTTCCTATCAGCTTGTTTCAAAATCCTATATCAATTCTACTGTTTGTTTTACTGTTTTGCTTTCTTTTAATCTCTTTAAAATAAAAAAAATAAAATTGTATCTTAAAAACTCTATAAGTAACATCAGACTAGGAATACAGCTCAGTGGTAGAACACTTGTCTAAGTGTGAGGCCGTCAAGAAAGCAGGACAACTGCATGGGAGATTTATGCAATAAATCAGATGAAATATGACAGTGTCTGGGACTAGGACTAGGATGGGTATAAGTGGAGCTGGTGAGAAACAGATTCTGAATTCCAAAGGGGACCCATAACAGTTTGTGTGACCCTCACAGACAACCCCTTTCCAGCCCTGACAGTACCATCAGCAAGAATGTCAGGTCTACACAATTCCAGCGCTTCCAGGAAGCCTGCTAAATGAAGATGCTGTTTCACCACCCACCATTTGCCACAAAGATGAGTCTCAAGAAAGGAATTGTGGATAACATGGATTTTTGTTTTCCCACTAAGATACCTATTTTGATTTTTTATACCCTTGTTTGCCTCACTTTATATAAAAATCCAAACTCCCTGTGTCATCTTTTGTTATTTTTACCCTAGTATGCTCTTGAAAATCCATTGTCTGATTCAATTTTCGATCTTTACCAGTTCTTCTTTTCCACCCTACCATCTGGGACTCATAATGTAGCAACAGCACAACCCTCATGTACAAAGCCTTTGTTCTGAAAATTTCCTACCCTTTTGGCTATACCAGGTGTCTGTCGACTGAAGACACTGCTTCTGCCAGTATGGTGGCTGGCTCTTTTATTCTTGATGGTCTCAGAAATGTGTAGGTGTCATTCTTATACCTTCCTGCTGTTTTTTGACTCCTTCAGTTTTGAAACTATCTCTGAGAAAAAAAAAAATCTCTGACCCATTAATATAATCATCCTGGCATAAGTATCACCTAGTAAAGTCACCAAAGTTATATCCAACTCTGCCTAGTTTCTGAAGGCAAAAAGTCTACAGCTGTGCTGACTAGTTTTATTTAAATTTACCTAAGGTTTTAATTGGACTTTTAGTTATCCTAACTGCAGATTTTCAGTCAATGATTATTAATTCTGCATCAGAATTATGTACCAAAACAGGTTTCTGAGCTACATTCCAGGGATATCTGACTCATTAGGGCTAGTGTGGTGCCTGTATTTCTTATTTCTCAAAAGTTTTCAGGTGATGTGTGTGTTGCTGGCTTGGAGATCACCCTGGGAGGCCTACTGGCTTAGTCAGTTGATTATCTTATGCCTTGAGATGACTATTTCAAATTCTTTATTCTTTCCTTTTCCTCTCTCTCTCTCTCCCTCATTCTTGCTTTTCTCAAATGTTCAATACCCACTTTTCTATTCTGAATGTCAGCTGATATTTTGCCCATTTTAATAAGAAGACATAAGGACCAAAAGGAACTTCCACCAGCAACCACTGACAACCAACTTGTGTTGCTCATATACTCTGCTCTTCTTTCTGTTACGAGAGAGGATTTTCCATGCTCATAAATCAAGCTCTTCATTTGGATACTTGGTGCCCACCATCTCTATCTAGATGAAGAGGGATTTACTCTTGTGATTATTTTGCTTTTTTCTAGCACCATTTTTATTCCTTCCTCATTGGATTATTTTCGTCAAAGAACAAAACCTCATGTGTTACTCTCATCTTAAGAAAAAACCCAAAAAGCACTGAAAAGCTTTTAAAGTCCACATTCCTACGTATCCTCTGTTCCCTTTCTTTCACATAGACAACTCTTGTCAAAACTACTCACTTTCCAACTCATTCAAATATACTGCAGTCAGGCATATTGTTTCCACCACTCTTTTAAAGCTGGTCTCATCATAGTCTTCAATTCTCTCCCCTTTTCCCCACCAAATTCAGTAATCAATTTTTATACTTTTCCTATTTGCCAGCATCATTTGATATAGTTTTACTAGACATTTTGAAATTATCTTTTTTTCCATTTTCTCATTTTTTCTGAATTCTTGTGATATTCCATACTTCTAATTGCTTTAGAGTCAGTTTTTAAAAATTTTATTTAAAGAGAAAAAGAAAAAAAAAACAGAAAAAGGGTACAAGTAATACAGAATTTCAAAAAAAATAAATCACTAATTAATAGATTACATATTGTCATCTTAGAAATAGTTGTTCAAGTTACAAAATTAAAGCATACAAAGTGGACATTCAAACAGTGAGACTGCAAACAGTTGTGTTCAATGATCGAACAAAAACTTAGTAATATGGTTATCTATTTTATACACTTAAATACACATGCAGTTATATCCTTTAGAGTACTTTATTTTCCTTTCTTTTTTATAATAACAATGACACATTTTGGGTTTTATTACTCCCACAGTTCTTACCACTATTTTTTTGGAGAGAATAAAACCAAATGTGATATAACAAAACAGAGTCAGTCAAATCAAAAGGATGGACATAGTACATGATGTAAAAACAGAATACAAGGTGATCAACAATGGTTACCATAATGTCTCTTGCTATCTTAAAAAGAATTGGCTATATCATCAGTTATAATAAAATTGAACAAAACAGTACAGAAAAAAACCAATAAAACTGAAACATTGGTGACATTACAGGACTTCAAAAGAAGATAATAGTCAAACCAGAATGGGCATCATAGTGAATCTTATTGTCTGCAAAGTACTTGCATATACCCTCAAACTTGATACTATCAAGCAAGCAGAATAGAGTAAAATCAGTCAAAACAAGATGGTGAGAGCAACACAGGGCTTCAAATCAAGTTAATAGGAAATCAAAATGGTTACTATAATATATCCTGCTATTTTTTAAATGTATTTTTCCCTTAGTTATAAAAATAAAAAATTAATTAAGAAGATTGACATAAAAGAGGACATAACACAACAGCATAGGTCAGAACATAACAATTTAAGCAACATAGTGTTTCACCACAAGATATTCCGACATAACAGTAGTTACCATAGTGTCTCTTTCCTTGAAATATTTGAGTATAGCTTCGTATACTGTAGCATTAAACATATCAAAACAATGTAAAATCATTCAAGAGAATGACAGTATTACAGGGTATTTAGAACCAACTAACAGAAAATTAACAATGGTTTCTGTATTATCTCCTTGTCTATAGAAGTTTTTGTTTGTACTATCACATGTAATAAAATCCAGTAAGATACAACATGTTAAGACTGATGGAGACAGAAGAACAAAAACTTGATGTGACTTCAAAACAAGATGATAGTAAATCAGCACTAGCTATTATGATGTCTTGTTTTCTTCAAAATAGCTTTTCACTCTATCACAGACAATAGAATCAAACAACCCAGAATAAAACCATTCAAATTAATGTAGAGTTAGTTTTTAAAAAATCTCTTACCAATTCTCTAAATTCACTAACTACCTAATCTTAAATATCTCATATTTCTAATTGCTTTAGGCTCAGATTTTTAAAAAATCTCTTTAGCATTTCTCTATATTCACTAACTACCTATTCTAAACCAGTCACTGATTATTAAGTACCTCCTAAGTGCTGATTAGTTCTAGATATATTCAGTTACCTTCCTATGTGTGTATCTAGATGTAAAATAGACTCTCAAATATACATAAAACTGTTTAACAATGTAATTTTCTGCTTAACAACTTGCTTATTCTCTGGTATATTTTATTTCATTTCATTAAATATCTGGTTCATTGAGTTTCTTTGGGAGATAATATTTTTTGAAAAGTAAAATACTTCAAGTTACCCTTGACTCCTCTCTCATACGCCAAATTCTATCTATGAGAGAATCAACTCTTTAAAAATGAATAATTCACGCTTAAGCAGACAGAGAAAAAGAACATAGGATACCTGCAAGAAGACATTTAGACAGAAAGGTGCTAAATAAAAGGCTTAATGATGACACTAAGAACAGAGGAACATTTTACAATTGGAGTATCACTCCGGGTCTCCAAATACCACAGATGAGGCTCTGTGAAACCTGCTTAGCCTGAGAAAATGTGGTCAACTTGGAACCCTCACAATGAAGAAAGAAACTGAGGTGAATGAAGTAAAAGAGGCAAAGCAGGGTAGGTAGGAGTTCCTAGGAACCCAAAGCACCTTGAAGAGTCTCCAGAATCCATTGTGTGAGGCTGTGATGTCAGTCCTGAGATCATAAAGGTGACCAGATGGAGTGAGTTCTAGTCCAGAAGGCCTTGGGTGCCAGTGCAGCAAGATGAGGGTGGTTTGGAGCCCTGCATAAGAGGAAGGAGGGGGCCACAGCTGATTGGTATGTGTTCTCCAAAGTGAGTTCTTCCTACCTTTGCCACTCAATCATCAACTGACTTCAGGTTTTCCTTCCCTGACCCCAACATCTTTTAATCCCATAACCCTCCCAAAGCATGCTGTTCTACATTCCTCCTATGCAGGCCCTACAGCTTTCATCTTTCCTACTTCTACCACCATCCTAAGGATAATTGTGGTCTATCCCCATCTCTCAGCTGTGTCCCCACAGACCTGAGCCTTCTGGTGCCCACCATGGCCAAAAGTGGAGAGGCTCTGCCACAGGGCTGCCCAGCGCCAGTCCAGGATCCCCACCTCATCAAGGTGACAGTAAAGACGCCCAAGGACAAGGAAGATTTCTCAGTTACAGACACATGCACCATTCAGCAGCTGAAGGAAGAGATATCTCAACGCTTTAAGGCCCACCCTGATCAGCTAGTCCTAATCTTTGCTGGCAAAATCCTCAAGGACCCTGACTCGCTGGCACAGTGTGGAGTACGAGATGGCCTCACTGTTCACCTGGTCATAAAGATGCAGCGCCGCACCATAGGCACTGAGTGCCCAGCTGCTTCAGTCCCGCCCCCAGGTCCAAGTCCTGGATCACTCCCCTCGCCAAGCTCCATTTACACAACAGATGGGCCTCCCACCTTCAGCTTAGGTGTCCTCAGTGGGTTGGGCCTGATGCCTGGTAGCTTCTCTGACCAGCCAAGTTCACTTATATGGCAGCCTGTGTCCCTGCCTGAATTTTTGGCTCAGCTTATTGATGATCCCTTCATCCAGGGTCTGCTGTCCAACACAGGCCTAGTGCGCCAGCTGGTTCTTGAAAATCCTCACATGCAGCAGCTGATCCAGCACAACCCTGAGATTGGACATATTCTAAACAACCCTGAAATCATGCGACAGACCCTCGAGTTTCTCCGTAACCCTGCTATGATGCAAGAGATGATGCGTAGCCAGGATCGTGCTCTTAGTAACCTGGAGAGCATCCCTGGTGGCTATAATGTGCTTCGCACCATGTACACAGATATCATGGACCCAATGCTTAATGCGGTACAGGAGCAATTTGGCGGCAATCCTTTTGCCACTGCTACCACTGCTAATATCAGTGGCAGCAGTAGCCAACCTTCAAGGACAGAGAATTGTGATCCTCTCCCCAACCCCTGGACTTCTACATATGCAGGCTCAGGTGGCAGACAAGGAAGAAGGCCTGGAGGCCAGGATACATCTGAAATTAGAAATAGAGTTCCAAACTTTTTGAGTAACATAGGACTCTATCAATATCTTCAGCGATTATATGAGACGCCCCAGTCCTTGGGAACCTATCTTCAGAGCTCTGTATCTCCCCACAACCCAAGCCAGGAGCCACCACCATCAGGAAACAGAGTTCCTCCAACTTCATCATCCCAGGAGCCTAGGTCACGCCAGCCTCTCCCCAAGGAGTCAGTAACCATCAAGGGAAATTCCTCTTGCCCAACTTTCCTGAGACACTCCTCAGGAAGCAGTCCTGGGAAAGATGGAGGCCAGAATGCTTCAGGGAAGAACTCTACTGGCCACAGCTCTAGCATGCCTGATCTTGTTTCTGGGCTAGGTAATTCTGCCAACAGGGCTCCATTTTTTCCTTCACAACCTTCTATGACTGCTACTCCTGGAGCCCCTTATCCTTCCTGGCTGCCACCACCAAGTCATCCAAGATCCCTGAGACCGGCTGGTATAAATCAGGCCCCACAGCTGGAGGATGAGCTACACCAACAGCTACCACTGCTGCTTAACCTTCAGGCAGCCATGGGAAACCCCCGTGCCATGCAAGCTCTGCTGCAGATTGAACAGGGCCTGCAGGTCCTGGCTACTGAAGCACCTCACCTCCTACTTTGGTTTGTGCCTTGCCTAGCAGGGGTGAGTGGTGTAGAAGGTAGTACACAGTCAAGAGAAAGTGACTTTATGTCTGAGCAGCCCCAGCCAACTCCAGTTCTTCAGGTTCCCCCTGTACAGGGCTCTACAGAACAAAGTTTCCATTCTACTCCATTTTTTCAGATGCTGCAGGCCATGGCTGGTACCACCCCCCAGCAGCTACAACCTGAGGCTCACTTCCGGGTCCAACTGGAACAACTTCGGGCCATGGGTTTTCTGAATCCTGAAGCCAATCTTCAGGCCCTCATTGCCACAGGGGGTGATGTAGATGCTGCTGTGGAGAAACTGAGGCAGTCATAGGAGCCCTAGTTTACAAATCTTATCTTTTCCTCTGTGCCTTTTCCTTATATCCTATTACCCTAGCTCTCCCATTCTTGAATACAGTGGCACTATAAACCATATTTACTATGATGCGCTTTACTGTGGAGACAATGTTGCCCCAGAGTCAATGAACAAGAAGAGCCAAAAATGTAGAAGGGGGTTTGTTGCATATGACTCAACCACCCCCACTGTTATACTACCATGGGGTCCCAGTCTGAGCTCTCTGTATGCCAACCTTGAGATGAAATTACATCGAATGTCCAGTGTCAGCTGCTGCCTGAGTCTGATTCTTGTGGGTTATGAGAGAAGAGGAGGAGATGGGAGGAGAATGGTTGGTAAGGGCTGTCTATGAGGAGGGAAGGGTTTAGAGGGGAAACTAAAAATTTGAAGTTAGCAGAGTCAGAGGCGTGGAACAGAGGTGGGAAAGTTATTGCAACCCTTTGAAGACTAAAGTCCACAGCTTTGCTAGTGACTTTCCTGAAGTTTTGTGTCCCAACTAGCTGCCACCATTGTTTTACCAGAATTCTTCCCATTAGCCTGTCTAAAAAGTCATCATAGTTTCTTATGTTTATTTCCCCTGAAGTGCCCTACAAATGGCTGTCACCTTCAGAATTTAATGCTGATCTTTGAGTAGGCAGAGATAGAATAGTCAGGATGCAGACCAAATCCTAAGATTCCAGAATTTCACCTAGTTTTTAATATTCATTGTAGCTGGATTTGGAGAGTTAATTACTTTGCAACACCTGGATCAAAAATTAAATATCTACCCTATGATCAGCATCTGTGAGCTTTTAGGAATTCATTGTCAGTAAAGGACACTAGCACCCTCACTACTGCTTTTGCACTACCACTTTCATGAGTTCATGGTATGGTAGCAGGAACTGCTCAAGCTGAATATCACTATACATATTTATAAATTATGATAATAAACTCTATGAAGGAAAAAGACCAGGAGCTACAAACTAGCATAAATGAGTTTGTTGTTATTCTAATCTGGAGAGATAGGAAAAATTGTGTGCACTCAGGGCTAACACTTAAAAAGTGATAGGAGTTAGGTAAGTAAAATATCCTCGTGTGGTGGTTTATATCTGTAGTCCCAGAACTTGGGAAGATGAGGCGGGAGGATCACCATGAGTCTGAGGCCAGTCTTGGCTACAGAGTGAGTTCAAGGGCAGCCTGAACCATGTAGTGATACCCTTCTCCAAAATCTAAAAGAAAACCAAGCCAAGCCAGACCAAACCAAGTAAGTGAATTTTATAGGGAAGGGAAAAGTACTCTTGCAGAAAAGCTATTGTGTATGAATGCACTGAGGTAGGAGGCACATCAACTACAGCAGGTACCCTCAGTATCTCACATTACATTCATGCTCACCTTCAGATATGTTTTCCATTATTCCTCTATTTCCAGAGTAAAAGTGTTATGATTCACAAACCAAACGAGTGAAACCTCTAACCCAGTTTTTATACACACTTATGAAGATAGCTATATATCTATTACATATATTCATTATATATCTCCATTATATATTTATATGTATATAATATGTATATTTTTCTTCCCAGTATATGTTCTATATATAGACCTTTGAATGCATCCTGGTGAGAAATTAACAAACATGAGGTGTATCTACTTAAATATACTTTTCCTTGCATAACCTATGCACATGTACATACATACATATAAAATACAAACATTGAGTTTTTACACAAAGTCAGAGTGTGCAGATAAACATTCATTCTGAATTAAAGTCAAGAAAAAAAAGGCCCGATGGTAAAAGTGGCCGTGGTTTGTCCCTGAGATTCAATGTATGGGTAATATCTTTTGGAGACTGAGAAATGACCTCCAACAGGAGTCTCTTTATCTTTGAACCAAGCCTGGTATAAGGCTTAAAGGAGATGAGACTAGCTTTGGAAATAATTTAATTCTAGTCATTTTGGTTTAAGAGGGGCACAAGACTCATTTTCCCATGAGATTTCTCATTAGTGGAATAATGCTTGTCCAGATCAAAAGAACTGTTATTTATAATGGCAACGGGGGAAAAGAAACACTACATTTTCCATATCCTGCATTTCATAGAGCAAATCCTCCAATACTGCCTGCAATTGGGGAAGATGAACAGGACAACCTTTCTAAAATTGCTTTTGGAAGGCCAGGTAGGTCTGAGAAAAACTTCATGGAAAGTAATTTCACTGCTTTTACCTGATTTCATCAAGGCCAGAGGAAACTTAAAGGATCATGTGATGTTAAGCTCAGATAACCAACACAAACAGTGGAAGGGATTAAGTGTCTTGGCAAAGGAGGAGAATATTAATTTAATGGATTTTTTGTTACCACATCTTCTTTTAAAAATATTTTTATAAACATTTATACATATGTGTATATTTTAAAACATAAACATAGCCTGCATTGAAAAAAATCTAACCACTCTTTCTAACCAATACACATTCCAATGTCTCTTTTTCTCTATTCTACTCATGTTGACTTTTTTTTAACTATTAATCTTTTAAAAATTTTTAAACAAAAATAAAAATGATACAGAGTTTCAAACAAAATATTAGGAGATTAATACTAGTTAATATATTGTGTATTGTTATCTTCAGAGTATTCAGATTACAAGACATAGGCATGAAAAAATGGTCAATCAAACAATGAATGCACAAACTTTTATTTGTTGAACTAACAGGGATTAGTATAGTTTCTAATATATATATATATATATATATATATATAGTATATATACATATATATACACATTACACACACATATATAATATATAATATATAAAATATGTAATATATAATATATAATATATACACAGACATATACATATCCTCTTCAGACTGTGGCACTTAGCTTCTATTACTGACTGACTGGAAGAAAGGAGGACAAGACGAGATGCAATATCCTGAGACAGTTACATCAATCAGAATAATTTTTTCTCCCTCAATTCCTCTCTTTTTTTATAATTGCTAAAGCCTGCTCACCAGTCATGGGAACATGTTTGAACCTAAAGTTCCCAAGAAAATTATAGTTTGGCTTTCAAGTGTCCCCCAAATACTCATACTTTAAAGATTTAGTCCACAGGTGGTGGTGCTATTGGGAACCAGTGGGAACTTTAAGAGATGGCGACCGGTAGAAGCAAGTTAGGTTCTTAAAGAACACATTGCCCCTGCCCCCTTTGCTTACTGGCCATTGTGCAGTGAGCAACTTTGCTCGACCTTTTTGCTTCCCACCGTGATGTTTTTCCTTGCCACAGCCAGATAATAGAGCCAAGTGACCATGGGAGTGAACCTTTGAAGTCAGGAGACAAAATTAACTTTTTATCCTTATCAGTTTACTTTTGGTGTTTGTCACAGTAACAGAAAGATGATTATATAAAAGCACTAAACTGCAAGCCTCTTAGCTTAGCTAAATTTCCATAAAGGAATGAAAAATGAAAGAGAAGTTATATGCTAAGAAATTGTACTTTTTAAAAAACCTCTTGACCTTCTAAGTGTTCTTAGATTCCTCATGTGAAAAATTAGTCTTGGTGGCACTGTGTGTGACTTTAATGGGGAGATATGAGAATACAGCTTCTCTGAAATTCACTCACTAAATTATTAAGCAAGCTTAACATTTTGATCCCAAAGTAACTCTAATTCTGTGAATTTAGCTGACAAAAGTAAATCTTATAGATATGGGTTAGCTTTGGCAGTCATAGTTTTTCTGTCTGTACAGTTTGTTTAACAGTGGTGATGAACCTATGGCAGTGGGCTACAGCCAGCTTATTTTTTGTCATTGAAAGCTCTAAAAGGTTTGCCATCTCTGGCCTTAGTGATCTGCTATCATGGCTTTCAGTAACACTGTTATGTGCTGAGGAACAGTAGGCTTACATTCCCAGCTTTGACATGCACCTATCACTAGGTTTGTCATCTCTCTTGAAATGTAATGGGCTGAAAACTAAATATGGTCAAAATATTTCCCTTGGAAAACCTACACCTTTCCAGTTCTTCAGATATGGACAATAATGTCTCTGCAAGAAGAGAATAAGAGATATTTCATCTCCAAGTATATGGAGGAAAAATCTCTGGAATGTGAGCTATGCAAAGGTAATTGTTTTCTGGAATATCCTTGAATCCCTACTATACATTAATGTGTTTACTAAGGAAAAGCAGAAACAATAATTTAAATATTTAATTCTGCAAGGGAGAACCCAAAGGGAATCACCAAGGAATTACCAAGGTTAGCTTGTAATACTTGCATGGGAAAGTTGTCCTGAGACATTATCAGGAGGGACCAAGTAATATGGCTGTCTATTGGCCATGTGATACAATGCAAGTCCCTGGAGTAGGAAGTTCTTTCAAACTCAGAAATTACAATTATGAAATGGGAAGAAATTGTTTAAAAAGTAAGAAGAACTGGGGTAGGGGTAGGAGGAAAGTATGGAAGGGAAAAAAAAGAAAAAGATTTAAAAAGGATAAAATGTAAGCAATACTTTTTAAATAGTGGAGACGGTTGAAGGGAGGAGAGGGCATTGGGAAAAAATAGAGGAATCAAAATGTATCATGTGCAGGTACAATTTCCCTATGAGGAATATGATCTTTATGTATATCTAAAATATACCAATATATTTAATTATATTAGAAAAAGAAATAATTTATCACATCTTGTTGTGCTTTGGACACTAGAGATACTGACTTAAACAAATCAGACTTTAAGGACATGTCTCTTTACATGGTAATATGTCTTTGCAGAGGATCTAGATGTTATGTCTAGAAGGATATTCTGAGGGTAGTATTGAGAGTAGCCAAATTCGAATTTTTAGTCCTTGAAAATTTTAGAATGAGTGAAATATCAATTATAAAATGGCAACAGCTAATGATACAAACTGAAAATGGTCTGATTCATCTACCTTCCTCAGTAACCAGTAATTATTGCAGGGATTAGATTTTAACTTAAAGTGTTACTTGCCTGGCTGGGTCTGAACAGTGCCTTACCTTCTTTTACAGTTGCAATAGTTCCTCTCCCAAATTACAAGACTCCTCTTTAAGTATATTACTACCTCAATTTTAATAGTTTTTAAATCATATTGATTTAGATCCAAATTGTTACTTTCCTATAATTTCTTTTGTTTCAGTTTTGATCATCTCAATTTGAGATCATAGTTTATTTCTCTGAGAGATGCTTGACTTACAGGTATGGTGTTTTTGGAACCATGTATTATAGACAGGTTGCTCAAACTGCAGGGTCTCAGATTACCATGTACCTATAGATTTCAGTGAGACCATCTGGACTATTTACACACATCTTCATTCTGTTCATACAGACACTGGGACTTGAACCTTGGCTGGGCCATGTTTAGTGTACAATAGTTTAGTGAAAAGTTAATGACCAAAAAGTGCTTCCTAAACTAATCTTTAGATTACTTCTTTTCTTACTCAGGTACACTCATTTATCAAACTCTACTAGGATTTCCTACTCTAGGTAGGATTTTCTGTGGTAGAGGCACCAAGATTTTTTGTCTTCTGATGTTAAGCAAATCATAAACAGAGCCAAGTTCAGGTAGGTGGTCATGAATTCTGCCCTCCCCCCATTCAGGTCTACCTTCAACTGTGACCTCATCACTGACACCTTGTCACTGAAATCCCCAGAGGCTGGCCTACGAGAAGAGCAGCTGCCTCCTCTATGGGAGCCTGGTGACTCCAGGGCTCCACTGGGAGGTGGCATCTATAGGGTGAAAGGACATCACTAGACACCTACTGATCCCTGCACCCAGAGCTGCTCAGCACCACATCTAGACTCCTAGACATCTGTGCCCAACAGTGTCCTCAAGGTGGCTCTACATTCTGTTCTTAAAAATGGCACAGCCTAGGGAAGAAGCGGGGGACAACCAGCTGGTATCTGGTCAGGAGCCATCATCATGCATCATCAGAGTGTCTGTTAAGACTCCACAGGATTGTCAGGAATTTTTGATATCAGAAAATAGCACTGTCCGCCACTTTAAGAAGCAGATCTCCAAACGCTTTCACTGTGACACTGACAGACTGGTACTCATCTTCACTGGAAAGATCCTTCGGGATCAAGACATACTGGGCCAGCGTTGCATCCATGATGGTGACACAGTCCACTTGGTGGTGAGGAGTCGTTTGAAAGGACTAGTCAGTCCCATAACTCTGCCAAATGCCACAGACCACTGCACCCATCGTTCTGAGCCATCCACCTCTGAGACTAGTGGGATGCTAGCTAGGCTGGGCCGGCTGGCCCGGACCTCTCCTGAGCTCGCTGACTTCTTTGGTCAACTGGCACAACTCCTGACAACTGCACCAGAGTGTGTGGTGCACTTCTTGGAAGATCCTCTGATTCAAGGACTTGCTAGTGAAAAACAAACCATTGCCAGCCACATTCCTGAACCCTCAAGGCCAGCACAGAAACATGACTCAACTCTCAAAACTCTGGAAACCTTGCAGAAGCCAGCCCGGCAACAGGAGCTCTTGGAGGCAAGCAAGCAGAAGTTGGAGGCCTTGAAGGCAGTGCCAGGTGGGGACAATGCTATGCGTCCAGTCTCCTCAGATGTCCAGCAGTTCATGCTTTCCACTCTGGCCTTATTGATTACCTCCAAAGACTACAACTCAGGTTCAGAGGCTTGCAGGGGAGAAGCCAATGTTCATAGTAGTTCTGATACCACCACCACTATCCCCACCACTTCTGCACCTGCCAGACCGCTGGTACCAGAGGTCAGTGTGGGAGCATTTACACAGGGCAGGGGCGTGGCCTTAAATCAGGCCAGTTCAGGATGTAAGAATGGTATGCCAGTTTTATACTTAGGCCAAGATCTTCCCTCACAAGATACTCAGCAGCCTGTAGAGAAAGCTTATCTGACCAATCTGCTAAGACCTTTACCTTCTCTTTTGTGCCAAGCCTTGCATGTTCTACAGCAGAATCCAACTGTGCTACGCCAACTAAGCAACAGTCCTCTGCGACGTCATATACCACTACTCCTTCCCATCCTGACCAATCCACGAGCACTGCAGGCATTAATACAGATAGAGCAGGGTCTTCAGATACTGTTCAGGGAGGTGCCTGGTCTGAGACCATTCTTACAGGACTCAGCTAGACTACATGGAGCCAGAAGAGTTCCAGAATCCAGGGGCAGAAGACAAGGGCATAGAGAAGACCCTATGCAACCCACTTTGGCCGTTCTTCAGCTTCTCCATGCACTGGCCAATGCTTGTTCCTTGTCTACCCAATTACCATTATTCTCATCCCTCCTCACAGAAAGTCGTTACCAGCAAGAACTCGAGCAGCTGAAGGCCCTGGGTTTTGCCAATCGCAATGCCAACCTGCAAGCCCTAATAACCACAAATGGAGACATTCCTGCTGCCATTGAGAAACTGCTGGAGGAGCCACAGGCCTAGGTCTTCCCACAATGAACATTGTGAGCAAAGATGCTCACCAGGAAGGGAAGGGGAAGGAGAAAGAAGTCATTTATTTTATGGAATCCTCTTACTCAGGTCATGAGTATGTTTGGATAACCCCTCTCTTGCAGCCCCAGCCTGTTCTACATTAAAAAGATTGCTTGGATTTCATGTGTGATGCAAATTCAGTGGGTTGGTAAATAGAATATTATTTGGAAAGGTATAGAAATTGTTACATGATTTCAGAAATTTGCATCATCTGTCCTCATTCCTGTAACCTCAGATTTTTCTTAAATTTTAAAAAATGAGATGGAAAACATTCGAGGGTTTTTTCCCTTCCTTCCTTCCTTCCTTCCTTCCTTCCTTCCTTCCTTCCTTCCTTCCTTGCTTCCTTCCTCCCTTCCAACAGAGGCAATGTTTTACCATCCTCTGCAATTAAATTACCCCTAGTAAACGGAGAGGCTTTCTCATGCCTCGTCTTCCAAATTTTTTTATATGGAATCTCACTTATTGACTCTATTTTCTGAAGATACTTCCTTTATTTTACATTATATATATTCCCAATTCTTTATTCCTCTCCCAGAGAAATTGGTGGCTTTCAGAGAAGAAGTTCTATCTCTTGCTTCTATCTAGGGCTCCTAAATCTCTTAGTCTAATACTTGTATTGTGTCCATTATCCTTTTCTTTGGTGATCTTTTGCTCAGCATTTCTAAATCCTTTTCAGAATTTTTTCCCTGGTTCATTTCTGCTCTTAAGTTCTATGTTGCCTACAACTCAGTGAAAGTCATCAATAAAAAAGTAATTTCTCAACTAACCCAAACACTTTTACTGTTAATTTCCAACCTGCTAGGCAGGCAGAGCTTCAGAGTACAAGTGTGGCTTAATGCAACCATGTAGCAGGGTAAATATTGATGAAACAGTCAGGTGACGGGAGCACATTTAGCAAGTTTCCTAAGAGGAAATGATTAAATATTCAGAGCCAGACTTATGTGTCAGTCACATTTAGAATGATGAACAGCCGAATTTTATGCTTCCTTGAGTCTAGGGAGGATGAATATCACTGAGGCAGACATTGCAACTCCATGATCCTCTATGAACTTAGAGACTTGAGATTGTAGAGGTTAGGGATGGTGGATCAAATACCTCTATGGCCTCACTTCTTGGGAATGAACCTGGTATAGCTTACTCTTTATTTTCCTCTAGCATTAAGATTTTACTCAGAATTTTTGAGGTCAGTCACCCAAGTTTGGTCTCAGGGAGAAGAGACAGTCCATGGGATGGAGTGAAGATGATGGAATGGGAAGTGTTCTGGAATCCTAGAAGTAGATGTTTATATCCCTGGAGTAAGGTGGGGATACTATCAGCAGATTTTGTTTTATTTTGGTTCATGGGATCAGTGGCTCAGTCCATGACTGTCTACATCCAAAGAAGAAACAACATGGTGGAGGGTATGGTAGAAGAAAGCTACTCACCTACAGCAAGCAGAAAGCAATGAAAGAAGGGAAATCCAGGGTCAAGAACACACCTTTCCAGGTTGTACCCCAGTGACCTGCCTACCTCTTTCAACTAAGCCCTACCTATGAACACATGAGAATTTGGGGAACATTTGAGATCTAAACCATAATATCGTCTTTCCTATTTTTATGTTTGTGTGGAGACTTTATTTCTGGTTTTGGTAAGACAGAATTGAGAAAAAGCGATAGAGAACACCTACAAGTTTTTGTCAACTCATATGTATGTACTCACTTATGTACTGTGTAATATGTTTCACCTTTTTTTCTGCTGCTACAAAAGAACAATGTACTTCCTAAATTCAGTGCTCCCACTATAATATTAGATTCTTTTCTTTCACTTACTGGGGAACTCTGCCTCTCTTTCTGGCTCCGTGTTTTCTTTTTTAGTGGTTTATCCTTTTATATGTATATATCATGAAAAGAACACACCAACATACAAGGAAAAAATATGTCTTGGGTCCACTTATCTCTCTGTCTACCATTATATTTTTCTGCTCATCTCTCTCAGAAGAGTAGGTACTCAAAGGAGTTGTTCGTATTGATATCAATTTCTTTGTTCTCTCTCAAGATTTACTGTAGTTAAGCCTTTGTATACTATTTCAAAGTTAGAATCCTCTTTTGTCAGCTAACTTAAGAACTCTATTACTGAATCAGTACTGGGGATCGGACTTACAACCTCATGCTTGCCAGGCAGGCACTTATGCCACTGAGCTAAATCCCTCGCCCTTGTTTTTCTTTTTAAATGGTACATGTGTAAGAAAATGTGTGTATATATGTGGGGGTGAAGGTATGTGAGCTGTGTGTGTGTCTTATGTGTGTTTTGTCAGAGAAACAGACAGACTTGGGAGTGGAGGAGTACAGTCTGGGCCATGTCACTGAGAGTACATGGTAGGAAAACTTTGATGCCTCAGTCAGGGCTGAATCAGTTAAGATTCATTTCAGAGGTTTCCCTCAACACACATTCAGAGAACTAGACTTAGAAAAAAAAAGGAAAGAAGTGTAGTCAATAAAGCAAGGTTCCAAATTTAGGCTTATTGTATTTCACTTATTATATGTCCTAAAACACTGCTCAAAGTAGTCCAAGAGGAGGGTTTTTTATGTGTCTAGTAAGGCCAGGTTCTCACAGCGGACTAAGGGATTTCCACATGCCCTAGCAGCACCAATGACTTTTGTCTAGACTGGAAAGGTGAATTTTTTCTTTTATTAGTGCAGACTTATAAGGATTAATGACATCCATGTTAGCATACATATATGCAGTTAACACTCTAGGATCATTTTCACCCCAGTGCATCACCTTGCCTTTCCTTCTCTCCTCCCCCTTGGTTTCTGTCCATTTCTCTAAGAGTTACCCTTCTAAAAGACTGCATTTCTTCCAAGTATGCATATAAACAATATATTATACCATCTAAGAGAAGACTGATATAAATACCGGGTAGTGGTAGTCAGAGAATTTGATCTTATTTTGTTAACCAGCAATCTTAATTCAGACTTTACTTACTACTGATTTGGTCTGTCCCTGCTTTGATATAGATCAATTCAGAAAATTTCTAAGGGCTGCCCATGTCTTTGTTTTGCATCTCACCTTTGAGACTTCCTATAAACCTAGATCTCCCTAGAAATCTAATCTTGCCCAGCTTCTGTAAGTAATAAGCCCCTCTGCTATCTCCTTTTTTGCATCATCATTCTGTTCTTTTTCTTTCCAATTCTGTTCCAATTCTTTCATCTTTCTCTTCTGAGCTCCTCTGTGCCCATAAACTAGCCCTGGCCAGTAACACCCTTGGCCAGTAAAAGCTTGCTGTATGAATTTGTCTCTACAGCTCAAATATGAGATCTGTGCACCTCTTTTCTTGTCTCACCAATAGACCTTGAGATAATATTGCCACTGGTTGAGTCTCTACCTTAGATCTGTCTTAAGTGCCTGCATCTCAACAGTTGTAATGTAACACAAAAGAGTAAGAATCAAATGGGCAAATATCTACTATTTGCCAGACACTAGGTTAGATGTAAATTTTCATTATTCAATCACAATAGGGTAATGAAATACATTCATTTATTAATTCTACAAAGAATTTTATATACATTAGCACAATTCATAATTTTTCATAATATTGAATGCTTTCATAATATTGAGTGCTTTTGACTTATATGTAAGTCATCCATTAAATGTGTGATGAAGTGTTAGAATAATAATCAAGAAACAGATAAACACTACATATTATTGTAAATCACACAGAAATATTGAGACATACATTTAAGGATTATTATTTAAGGTTTATTGACTAAATACTAACAGTTCCTCCAGACTCTATTCAATGCTTTGTTTCAAATACAATAGGAAATATTTTCTAATGCGGGAGATGGTTAAGTAGGATGTCCTAGTTCATGCAGGTAATGAAAGAGGGAGCTGAGATGTAAGCACCTGGTCATCTGGATCCAGATCTCATATATTTTCCATTGTAAAATGACAGATAATGTCTAATGGATTGTCATTATCACAGGCATAACCTTAGACTATAGATTTCTCTGGATTATAGGCTATTAATCTGAAATGCAAATAACAAACAGTATTTCTTGGAAGAGTTTGGGTGATTATCAGTGGATTTGCATATTTTGGAACTGACATTACTAAAGCACTGAAGCACTATTAAAAAATAAGAATTTAGACTTCCCTGAGTTCTTAATAAAGTATAATATGTCTAAAATGAAAAGAACCTCAAAAAAGAGGACTGAGAGAATATTGGGAGAAAGTATAATTTCACTAAGCATTAGTAATAATAGCCTCAGAACCATTTAAATATTATAGAGCAGTGTTGTAACATAGTTATCAAATAATTCTGTGAAGTGAAATAGTAGCTTAAAAGTCTTAGATAAGGTCACTTATAATGTTTAAAGAGAATACTTAACTTTCTCATTTATTACTGAACACTTTATATTTAAAACACTTTCTTCACTGCATTTATTAACTGTCCCTATTGAACAACTGGACAGAAAGAGCCCACAGAAACATTTAGTGACACCCTCAAGTTACAAACTTAGGCACTCTGCCTTTATTCTTTGTGCCCTTAACTGCTGCCCAATGTGTTTTTCTTTTCCATTTGGACTACTGGGAAAGTATTCCTATCATGGAATATAGCATCCACTTAAGCAGGTGACTTGCTCCTTAGAAAGTCTTAGCACTTTTGATACTAGCTTGAAAAATACATCACCCTTCTGTGCTATTCAAAGTTCTTAAAGGAGCCTTAGGAAAACAGTATATTCAAGTGAACATGAAAAGCCTCTCTTTTATATTACTTCTCCTTTTTCACCACAAAAATCCAGTTCTTTCATATCAGAAGTCTCTATGTGCATGCATCTAGATGGATATCATACCATTATGTTTATCCAGCTCCTGCTCAGAATTCATAATGTGATCTTCCCCAAGTGAAGTAGTCTTAGAAGACGATTCCTAATTTCCTTGGTTCTTGCCCCATAGATGACAGGGTTGAGCACAGGAGGTACCAGCACATAGAGATTGGCCAGAAAAATGTGCATGTGCTTAGGAACTCGGTTGTGACCAAAGCGGTGGGCGAGGAAGGAGAAAAAGGCAGGGATATAAAAAACCAGAATGACACCAAGGTGGGAACCACAAGTACTGAGAGC